TCTTGTGCTTACAGTCTTGCAATCATGTCACACAATGTTGTTTTTTGTTTTATTAATCACTGCAGACTAGCTGCTTATCAGAATATTAATATCGAGCTAGTATCTGGTGATAGAGGTTTAGAAACTGCACGCTACTTTCCTCCTACTGGAGTTCTGATGTGGATCCCAAAACCTGGGAAAGATATTTCAGCCAACTGTGGCAAATAATACATTGACAACTGCCAGTACATTAGCTTTATCTATTTCGAAGGCTTTACTTGTTAGTGTTCAAAGCTTAATTTAATGAATGGCCTACACTAATGTTTGTGCTATTATGCAAAGTTGGCACAGTTCAGACTTTTTTCCCCCCTTTTTTTTAAAGGCAGGCTCATGCAACTCATCCAATCATCTCTGGGTGTGTTATGTCAGTTGCTAATGCAGCCTTACCACTGCTGACCTCTGCTCTTAACAGCCCTCACTGCCATTCACATGAGCACGTTTGAAATCCACCGACAAAGGGTCAGGGTTACAGTTTGTCATCCATTTAGAATGTGGTGGATTAACGCTTTGATCTTTATGAAGTAAACCATTTTAACTATTTTAAATCCGGGTTTTATAATAATCTTTATTATTATGGGTTGCTAAGAGAAAGGGTTGAAGTTTCATGTACTTAGCTTTCCCTTGGACCTCTGCCGCCTAATCTACATGCCATCTTCTCCATAATAAGTTACTTAAAATCAGATCTGTATTGTAGGAGTAGTTGAAATCAGACCACACCTACTGCATATGGATTTTATATGTTGGTCTTGGCAACTTCAGTCAAACTATAGATTCAACAAGGCTTTATAGTGTAATTAATCTCAGAAGTTCATGTGTATTTATAACTTGTAAAAGTAATGGATATTGTATGTGTAAAACTGTATGTACGGGACACCATGACACATTCCCTGCCAAAGATCGTGTTACTGCTTCATTTGATACCTCCTGCTTTTAACCCAGGCCAGTCAAAAAAGCAAAGGCCTCACATTCATACTCAGCCAGAGACATACTGCATGGAGACGGCCATGTTGTCTCCCAGCTTTCATGTAGTGATGATAACAATCTCTGTATGTATGATGTTTTATTTAGAGGCAGTCTTTTAATTTTCAATAGCATCATTTACATCTGGTTAATTGGTTGAATTATTTTCAGTTTATTCAATTCTTAATGGCGTCATTAGTTATGACCTTGTAAAGGTCAAACCAGCTAACACGGACACCTACAAACAACGTAAGCCTTTAAAATATACCATACAGTTTGAACAGTAACATTTACTTGCTGACCAGTCTATATAATTTATTTATTTATTTGTGCTTATAGAAGTTCAAAAGATTTTAAAACCACAAGTCGTTACCATTGCACAGTTGCATTAATACTGGCTCTTTTTTGCAAGGTCATCATATTTCATGCTAATTTCTGTGTACTTTGACAACCAAGGATTTTCTATAAACGTTACATATAGGTCCATGGCCCTATACCCCAATTTTTCCTCCCAGTACAGACACACATGCACATGTAAAATCCCCTCCCCCTTGCTTCTGAGTGCCTTCAGTTGTATGTGCAGACATGCCTGTAGATTCTTGCCTGCGCAAACCGTCCTACTTTTCGACGTGGAATTTGGTGACTCGACAGAGGTCAGTAATCTGAGTGCAGCGCTGCTGTCGTGTCACACTAGCACCAGTCTCCTGCCTTTCATATGCTTAACCTTGTATTTGCCCGTTTTTTTGCAAGACCTTTATCAATATTAAGCCGATTCCATCAATTAGTTTAATAATTGAAAATGTCTTAATTTTGTTTTATGAATCAATAAGTCCTACAAGTAAAAATCCCAAATCAAATTTACACGCAAAAGACCTTTGCTACAACTTGTGACACAGGTTAAACAATTACCCTAAGTCAAGAAGCAAAGCATTAAAAAAAAGGCAAGAGACTACTCAATTTCTTACCCAACAAAATTTGTATTACTTAATGAAAAGATCTTGCATTAACTTATGACTTTATCCAAATTTACAATGACATTAACATCTTAGGACATTATTGGCATTGCTGTCACAACCTGGAAAATGGATTGAATGATATTGTAACGGATATGATCTTTTAAAGGAAGATTGTATATAGTTAACTAAGGCCAATCTCAAAGATTTGAGAGAAGTGGCAGATGTTAATCCTGATGACAAACTCTCCATTAACCCCTTGTGGAAGTCCACCACAGTTTTATTTTCATCCTCTGATTATACTGTCAGAACAACTCGGTCTTTTACTGAATCACAGGATACATCGCTACCCAGAAGCAACAGTACAGCCTAGATTATTAATTTAAAAAACTTTTAAAAAGCTAAATACATGTAATTATTTGTAGGGAATAAAATTACTTAGATTATTTTGATAAACCCTTTAAAGGCTACTTGCTATTTTAATCCCTGATAATAAAATACTGTTTTCCCCGTATTCTTTTATTTAATTGACTTTTTCTTTCAAAAGTCTCAGTTTAGGCTGACGAAGATAAAATAAGTGATTTTATACTGTTCCTGGACAATCTAAAGAATTAATTCCTTAATTTGTACCGATAAGAATACTGTTTAAAACTTAAACAACCATCTTTTTTCAAATTAACACTTAAAAATGGGCCTCTAAGAATTTTAATGCAAAATGGTCAAGACCCATGACTTCATTCAGTTCAAGTAGTTTGGCCCTTGCTGACCTTATTCATTTGTAGCAATTTTATTTCTAGCTTTATATAGTGGTCTTGTGGTAAATTTATATATTATGGGGAAAAAGACACCATAAACACCTCCACAAATGTTAAAAAATCTTGTGATCATTCATGCTTTTATATTTGTTGCCAGCACAAACATAATATCTAATAGTTTGCAATGATTGTGTTACAAAGCACCCAGGGAGACAGAGCCTTATTGCTCCATATTTTACTCTCTAACATGACATAGCAAGCTCAGGCACAATCATATGATCTGTTGATTAGTTTTTGGTATTGCATCATCTTTTAACACTGCACCTGCTCTGTGATGTATTATGCATGTCTCCCAGAGGATTGACTACACCTTTCTCAGCCTAAATAATTCAAGATTCAGTTCCTGATTGTTCCCACACAGAGAGGACAGGGTCACTTTTCAGACCAGGAAGATTGGTGGCCAGAGTCAGACATGTCCACATTTCTGCATCAGTGTAGAGCCACCAGTCTGAAAATTGATTTTGGATGAGTGAATGATCATTCATGACCTTAATTAATTTATTGGATTAAGTCAGTGACAAAAGCTTTGCTTGACGTTGCCATGACAACTCAGCTGTACCCCTTGACCCCGTAATAAGACCTCACTCACGTGTGCTTTCCCTCAGGAGATTGCGTAATAGCTTTGATGGTCATGATGTCATCACCTTCTCATCTTTCCCCGCCAATGTATTTTACTGCCCTTCTGAAATGGTCTCTGCAATGTTAGCTTCATGAAGATCAATACAAATATTACTAATTTGACTTTCATCATGATTTGTATTCAAATAAATGTGCGTGTTTGTGTGTTGTGGGGGATGGTTGGTATTGTACCAGAATTATCTGACAACACACTTCAGAGTTACAAGTTTTACTGCTCTACTGATGGGTCATCAGCAATGCATTGAACATAAGAATACTTCAACTCTCATCAAGCTTGTGCCCATGTCCAATCTACACTCTATGGCCTCCATTTCCTCACACACACACCTCAAACAGTACACAAACTCACAATTTGCTCCATTCCTCCTGGCAAGTAAAGCGCTGAGTGATAATCTGCAGCAGCCAGCTGTGTGTTACATCATTGATGGGTACACAGCCGCCATGCAAAGACACAAAGCTGCAGATGGCTAAACTGTGTAGCTTACCTAAAGAATCAAAATGTGTCTGTCCAAACACATTTTCCATCCATCCATTTTCGTAACTGTAATTCCCTAATGGGGGGGGACTGGAGCCTTACCCAGAATTCTCCACACAGAGACACACAAGGATGAACAACCACTCACGCTCACTCCTAAGGTGAAATATAAAAGTGCTGACAAGTCTTGCAGTATCTTCATGTGACGTAATTTGAGTCAGCAAAATTTAAATCTGATGACATCAAGTTCTAAAAGATGACTTTTTCATTACTCTGCGATATGGGTAACTGTTTTAGATAGACATGGACAAATTAAGTATTGGTGGACCAAATAGAATATAATTTTTTTTATTATTATGTCTTTTTTAAAGATATTTTTTCAGTTGTTTTTTTTTTTTTAGATTTTCTCATGACTTCATAGACTTGCAGAAATACCAACTTAACAGACACATATCGCTCAGTCAATCTTAACATTGAGTTTAAACAATAAATAAAGACAATGTCTGGGATTAACAGAAAAGAAATTGCAATAAAAAAGGGATGTTTTTTTAACGTCTTCGTTGATGTTAAAGGATACTAAGAAAATATCAAATATGTTGTTTCGGTGACTGACAGAGACTGTTGAGAAGGTCTAATGCCTTTGCTCATCAAAGGTCAGATGAGGGATTGGAGGAAAGTAGAACAGAGGGATAATGATGCCATGAGAGCTGGAACCAGATGATAGGTTTACTGTCATGTTACATCAAACCCCTCCCCCTGAAGATTCCTCTGCTTACCTTCTGTTATCTGTGCTTTATCACGCAGCCTCTCTTTTTCCCTCCCACCTCCCTCTCTGGTGTCCCATCAGACATATGGGTTTGTCCACACGACTTTCTGTTTCCCTCCCCCCCTTCTCCCACCCTTATGCCTCATCACCCTAATGCGCTGTGGCAGTATCGGCTGCTGTGTTTGCTTCTGAATGGGAGCTTCATCTGCAAGCGTGAATTCCCTCTATCTCTCATCAAACCTCATTGCCTCATCCTTCCAATCTGTATCTGCATCAACATGGCTTCTGCTTAGGTCTAATGTCTGCTGTTTAAATTTGTTAATACTCAAAACAAGCGTCTGTTTTGTCAACAGATATTGGGCTTGGACATCAGGCCCCTTCCCCAGGTGCCTGTGGCAGCATCCTGTCATTTGGAATCGCGGGTTACCCTACCGGTGAAGTAATGAACATGAATCTCTCTTGCAGTGTGGCCGAGAAGGGAGGTGAGGGCTGCAAAGAATTGATGGAGGCCTTTGCTGCTTGTGTGAAGAGCGCTGCAGAAGGGACGTCATGAGGAGTCACCCTCCAATATGTAAGGATGTTATGTAACCAGCTGATTCATTTAGTCGCACACGGTTTGAATGTAGGTTGTTTTGCTGAAAATGCTGCTTCTGTGACTTAAAAATAAGTCAGATTATTTGATTTGTAGTAGAAATCCACAGGTATAAGAAACCTTTAAGCAAAAGTTGGCAGCATTACATATAGCTGTCAATTTATGTTGAATGATTGAACTGAACAGTACCACATCTTAACCTGTGGCTTTTCTACTTGAAATGTCAAAAGAAAATACTTCAATTTTTAAAAATTAGGTTCCAAGCTTCCAGATTGTTTCCCTGTCGTTTGTCTCGAATTCTAAGATATTCAAGTAAAAATGATAGAATCGCATTACAATAATTTTGCATAAATCTTTATACCTAAATTAATATCCAGACTTTAATGTGTTGTACTCAACTAATGGTAGAAAATAGAGAATGAGGTTTATGATTAAAATCATCCATTTCTCAAAACAAAAACATGAATAATCGTTTTGTGTGAGCATCAGGAACTTTACCCATTAAAATCCATTGTTTGTACCATTCTTAACTAAATCCAGTTAGGTAATTAGACTTAGTGTCGGATAAGTGTCAAGGTGGGCCAAAGGCTGATCTCAGCACCGCCCTGTTGAAGTAATATTTTTGTTCTACGTTTAAATCTACATCATATGGATGACATCTAAGTTAAAAATTGGATTTTATCTTTGGATTGGCTCCCGTAAGAACACAAACAAACTGCTTTGACAAATTAACACAGCACTGACAGCTGACTGGTGTGCACATTAATTTAATGCTAGTAAATTGTGTCCGAACTGCCTTGAACGTCAGATTAAGTGCATGCAGTTACTTCAACATGACTATCAACAGAGTGGTTTAAATCATTCATGTTCACAGAAAAAAGCACATCCTATAAAAAACTTCAATGATAATCGACTGTCACTCTTAATCTACGTTTTACAATTTGTTCTGTAATCCTGATGATGGCATCAAGCAGAACATGTACCCCTAAAGACACTGTCACTCTCCTGTTTTTTAGGTCCTCTGCACTGAGTCCTTCAAGTTCCCAGCATTCCCTTCTGCACAACAGCACTGGACTGAATGATGACAACAACAATTATGGTGATGAGGATAATGATCATGGTGGGACAAATGCTGTGTTGATCCGTCTGAATTTGGGATCTGGTGTCAGATCCAGCCCCACCCTACTACCCCTTTCTGGTTTTAGGCTTCTCTGGTGTCCCTCAGTCTTACCACAATTCCCCCTTCTCCCTCTCCTGTCCATAAAACGTATGTTGACAATTCCAGAGAGCCGACAGGCTGTGATGTAACCTGTCGACTTGAGATGAAAACCTATAAATGAAAATAAAGTATAAAATAATTGGTATAAAAACCGCTCGTGACTCCTGGCGTCTTGTTTTACTTCTTGGGGGTTTGTTGTAAGAAACCTGAATGATTGATTTGCTTTTTGATATTTAGGTGGGTGGATGTATTTTTATTCCCATGATAGAAGAAATTAAAGAAGAAACTAAAGAGGCTGATCCACGAGCAACATAAGTAATTGCTGGAATGTTCATGTAAATTAATAAAAAATGCAAGTTAATCAAGTTCATTCACAAAGGTGTTAGTGGTTGGAATTCACAAGTATAAACGTTTCTCTCAAACAGCTGTAAAGTCAGTTGTGTGTCCGGGGTGTTGGGCATCTGATGAAATTGACGGGATTAATCGAAGAGTTTCAGATTGTTATCGTACAATTGTAGAACTCTACATTCCAAAACATTTTCAAGTCAAAAATTTTTAATTATCACCAAAATCACAGACAAATTTCATTGCATTCAAACAATCTAGACTTGGGTTAGAGTTACCTAATGGTTAATGGTTTGGAAACCAAGAATACTGATTTCTTTGGTTTTTCAGAAGAGTCTGTACACTGGCTCAATAAGCCGTTGCAATAATGGAAAACATTTCAGAATTAGCTCTGAGACTGTACTTCTGATATAACCAGGGACCTGCAGAGGAAAAATTCCAATGCGATGTTAGCATATGTCAACGCCTGTGATTCTTTGTCTCTGTGGACATTGATAGTGAACAGTGATCATTTTTCTACTGATTTCAGACAGTCAGTTCACTGTGGATAACCCAGCATCCTCCCATGGTACAAAAGCATGCGTGTTAGATCTGTTGAAGACTCCAAATTTCCCTTTGGCGTGAATTTGGTTGTGCATGTTAGCGTCTGTGTGACCCTGTGATGGATTGGTGGCCTTTTCAGGGTGTACACTGCCTCTTACGCATTGTAGGCTATGCACCCTACTAGAAATAAACGCTATTGCAAATGGAAGTATACATAGATGGCTTAACATAATTTAGGCAGGACTATATTCCATTTATGGTTTACATGAGTTATAGCTAGAAAGTTCAATTCACATTACGATAAATTGTTAATGCCATTTTGGATTGCCCGTTCAATATTTCTCCCTATATCTATACACATCTCTCAAAACATTGAGCCTCTGTCTACTTAGCTTTCTCCCTCATTACTAGGCTGAGTCCTTTTTTTACCATCTCCGTTCTGGACTTAATTCTGTCAGAGGGGGTGCTACAAGATTATATGACAGAAACAAGCAACATGATCTTTGAAAACAAGCCAGTAACAAGTGGTGGCGTTTTTTTTTTAAAACAGGCCCAAGGCTGCTTTGCAAATGCTGTGAGTCACAAAGTTGAGTGGAAGCTGTGGCTGAATTCAATAGTGAGACAAAGGGGAATCAATGTCTCTGTGATCCAAGTCACATCATTTGTAACTCTCTCATGTTGTACCCTTACATACATATTAGCTTGGATGGGCTTTTTTTTTTCTCATGTGGACCTAAAGATAATTTTTCCCCATGAGGAAGCTGGAACATGGATTCCCCTGACCACACAACATGTTTCCAATGGCTTTCACTGCATTTGAGAACCGGCTCAGAGAACATGGCTATGTTTCTTCTCAAAGTTGATTCGCATTTTCCACCTTGCATGATACAGTTTTAAGATTGTATCTGCATCCAGCATGTTTGGAGAACATCCCAGTGCATCCTGATTGGCCTGATGCGACTTCGACAGTCTTTAGTTGGTTGTGAAATCCATTGCCCTGAGTGAACCCTATGGGCTACTCAAGGTTTTCACCATATATATATCTATCTATCTATCCGTGTATGTATCTATCTGTCTGTCTGTATGTCTGTCTGTCAATATCTGTCTATCTGTCTATCTATCTGTCTGTCTGTCTGTCTGTCTGTCTGTCTGTCTATCAATCTGGATAGATGTTAAAAATTTGACAGGTATTAAGCTAAATTGAGCCGGTAGGTCATATGCTGAGTGATCTAACCAGAAGCCAAACCGGCCCCACTCACGGACGTGACCAGCATCAGCTGTCTTGGCTGTCCTAATCCATCTACAGGGGGTAAATTCAGACACACCCAGATTAGTGTGTCCTCTTTTTTGCCCAGAGCCTTGCTGTTGTAAGTATAGATTTAGAGCAAGGAAGTTTGTGTTTGTCAAACCCAAAGTTTTGGTATACTTAATAGTACTGATCTGAAGTCATACTGGCGACAAAAGGCTCTATGTATTGGGTTTTACTAAGAGGAAAGCTAAGGAGATGGGAAATGCCCAAATATGAGAAATGGTCTATTAGATTTTCTAATTAGCTTCTATTGACAAACTTTACAAAGGTAACACCTTTGTATTTGTGTCAACTGAGCAAAATAGAAACAATTAGGCCACCTCATTCCAATACACTTCAGGGGATTTGACAGAGCACATGTGAATACAACATAAAGCCGATGTCCAAGATCAAATTGTACAACTACACAGTGTTTTCAAAGAACAGGTGCAGTCCAGTATTGTACAAATGGAACTGCTCTTCTCTTGACATCAGATATACCATGTCCAACTAACTCTTGCTAAATGCCTCATGGAGATTCCACTGAGGGGGGAGGACATACAGTATTTCTGCCTTACTCTGCAGAGTGCCTAAAGGGCAAAGGGTGCTTGGCTGTATGGAAGAGAAAAGACTTTGTCGAAGGTCACATACACTAAATTCATTCCATTTAAATAAACAACCCAATCAAATAATATCAAGTCAAACGTTGACTATTTTAGCACACAAGCAAGCACTGTATATAACACTCCCGATGAAGCATCATTAATTCTACCAAAAAACTGGTAAAGATTGCTAATTCAAACAAATAGCAGATATTTGCAAGTGATATATACTTTAATCAGGAAAGAATACAGGGCACTTATCAAGGGGTCCATGCCTTGTTATGGACTGGGGCTCTGTCCAAGCTGTATCAAAAGTTGATGCTATTGTAATAGTTCAAATTTGATTTTTTAAAATAAGTTTAATGAATATGCTAAAAGATCTTGACACTTCCTTCAGCATTAATGGCCTTTAGCCAGATGTGCAGTTTATCAGATCCAGACACTATCATACCCCTGTACTATACAAAAATAAGACTAAGAGGACAGAGCCCATGATTTCCAACAAGAATTTCAAACTGCAATATGTATGCTTTTCAAACAATCGTCAGCTTTTCCTCATCCTATTTAAGTGTTTGCACTAATACATTGTCTTAAGACAATGGCAAAGCTTTGGATGGCACTGTAAACTGTGTTGGGTAGTGTTCCTTACCCTTTACAGTGATTTCCACTACATCAAACATGTTTTTAAAAGCACTGATGGTGGATTATGGAAATCATATATTTTAAACAGCCACATCCCCGCTTTCAAAATGTTAAGGTAATTTTCTTCAGCAATAATCCTTTACCGGGCAGCTGTATTTCAAATGAAGCTACCATTCTTACAACTTGTATTTAGAAGTGCCCCTGCATTTTGATAGCTGATTATCACCTCAGCATAATTACTTTGTTTGAAATATGCCCTATTGTACAATTTGTATTGATTTAAGGGCTGCATGGTGGTATGTATGTAATATGTATGTCGGTTTCATTTTGAATTCCAAATTCACTGTCGGAGTGACTGCCAGCTCTTGTGGTTGTTCATGTTGTTCATGTATTTGCAGCCTCCCTACAATCCTGAGTGACAATAAGTGGATTTAGAAAGCAAGTGGATGGATTTAAAGGTTCTTAAACGTAGATGTCAAAGTCCAGCTCTCGAGTGTTGTTATCATGCAGGTTTTAGATTCCTCCCTGCTTGAACACAGAAGATTTACTTCACTGCACCACAGGCACGGTTGTGCATAGTTTAACCATGTTTTAAAGGGAACCATGTAATAAGAATGTTCACACACTCATCTAAAAGTTCCTAATCCATCTATAAAGGTCTCTTTCAACTGGCTTGTCTGTTCTGTTAGAGGCGTCACATCGGTGATTAGAACTCAAATGAAAAACAGAGTTGACCTGTACTGACACTACTGGCATTTGCGACGCAGACAGTAGCACCCTCGTGGCCATAAGGTCATGAGCTTAGATTATCCTAGGATCAATGCAGGTGTTTTATGGACTAGATGTAGCCAAAATGTAATTAGCTAACTGACATTTGCTTTAATAATAAAGCTTTAAGTGTGGTTTAAAGCCCCATGTCTGGTGGATGTTTGGCCTAGTTTACAGTTAAGATAAATCAATACTATAAAAACCTAAATGTAGGCCAGATAAAATGAAGCCTATGGCCATGTTTGGGCCAAACATGCTTTGCTCTCTGGGTCTACATTTGGTTGATCTCACATACATGGAAGTTCTCTTTAATCAATTACTAGTTTTTGGGCTTCTAGACTAGAAAGCTCGGTTGTGCTTTCCTGTTAGGTTGTTATGTTGTTAGTTTTAAGAAGGTCTCTGAATCTGGTTCATCCGATTCTAGATTTTGTTCACCATAGCTGCTATCTACTTTGTCATGATGGGTCCCCCCCTAAAAGTTTCCAGCCGTCTTCTTTTTTTAAAACAAAATTTGGCTCTTTGTTTTTTTTTAACATGTTCCTGGAATTTGTATTCCTTTAATACCCTGCCGCCCATGTTTTGATTGCAATCCCTCTAAATTCTGCCTTGTTTGTGATATTTCATGGTCTCCTCTGGTTTCTGGACTGTGTAAAGAGTAATTTGCCATTTAACCAAGTCCTGAGTTGTCTGATCTTCTGTGGGTCCAATCTGCTACCTCTGAAAATAGTAAAAGAGATGACCAGTGAAAGAAAACTACAGGAAGCACGAACACGCTAAAGATAAAGATAAGGGCAGGAATGAATGAGAATACTGGGATTGAAAAAAACAAGAGAGTGAACAAATGTAAAACTATGTTTTTGGTCACACTGACAGCGTGTGACCACTGTGACAAGTTAATTTCAACCTGGAAAAACTCACTGAAAAATGGCAATTACAGATATATTAATACTTCAGAAAGATGTGGCAGAAAATGTGGAATCTGTAAATGGCAATGATCTTGGATGACCATTGTAGGACACTGGTGGTGAAATGGAGGACAGAGGAGAAGGGAGATGGAAGGAGCTTGAGAGCATGAAGGAGGGGATGGGGTTGAAGCTCAGCTGAACGCAGTAGTAGCAGTAGCAGTCCATGAATGGAGGGCTTTAAAGGCACTGTCTTACAGGATGATTGGTTGAAGAAGGATGGGTCTTGATGTTGATTGGCTGGAGCAGAGGCGCATGATGAGGTAGTTGGATGCAGGGCTGGGGTGATTCTTCCTGTTTTAATTTGCGTCTAAACTTCAATTGTTCGTTGCAATAAAGCACTGTCACATTATAGCTGGAGGGCTACTGGTTTGAACCCTGGGGGACTCTCTGTGGAGTTTGCATGTTTCCCCATGTCTGCGTGGTTATCCTCCAGGTAATCTGGACAAAAACGTGCATGTTTTCTTAATGTACACTCAAAATGACCCATTGAGGTGTGTGTGGTTGTGCATCTCTGCCTTTTGATGGACTGGCGACCTATTCAGGGTGTATCCAGCCTTTTGCCCATTGTCACCTGGGATAGGCTCCAACCCCCTGCGCCCCGCCAGGAATAACCGGGATAGATGATGGATGGATGGACGAAATCTACGGGATTAATCGCTGAGTATTGTGAGCTCTAGTAGGAAGAGTTTTGGACTCTCAGGTCTTGCTGCCAGACCTGACAGTTTATCCAAGTTTTTTTCTTGCTTCCTGTAAATTGATTATTTAATATATGGATCACGCTAATAACAAAATACCCAACCATATTCAAGGCAACCTATAGAACAGCATTATCATGTTGTTATACCTTTATATCAGGATAAAAGGTACAAACTCTTAAAATTATTAAGAGGTACAAAGCACAACACACAACAAAGCTCCCCAGATGATCCACCTGCAGCTCAAAGAGAAGGGACCCTCTTTTGAACATGGAAATATAATGATTACTTACTTATACTTATAATACTTAGCAGAGGATGTTGCCCATCTAGCACTTACAAAGCTGCCTTGAACTACCTCCGTGGGCAGTTTCACAATCATTAACACTCTGGATCTTGTGACCAACTCGTTGGTAAAGAACTCTCAAGTGACAATGATCTGAATGACCCTTGGAACTGGCAAAGGGGGTTTGAGTCTTCTGACTCCAGCAATTCTCAAAATGAGACCCCATTCATAAGCATTGCTTTCGCATGGTTGCGGAAGGGCTGGTAGAAAATCATAAAGCAGTAGTTCCTGTTCTTGTAGTTCCATGCCTTTCCAGCAATAAGAACAAAAGGTCTTAAGTTATTTTTTATCGGTAAAAAGTTATATGAGAAAACATGTCCAAATCAGATACTTCTATTTCAAATAAACAACATTATGTGTATTTTGTGTATGGGTGAAATTAAGTGTACTTACATCATGATATTATGACCTCTAGTGGTCATGTGAAAGGCAACCCCCCCCAAAAAAGTTGTTTTCTTTTCTTTTTGTTTTCTGAGTCTGACAACAAGGATTAGCAGCTAGCACAGTAGTGACACAGAATGAGGTCCAACCTAAATCTTCCATATCATGCACCACTAGAGTAAGCACAAAAGGGAGTGTTATAAAAAAGTCCAAAGCTAAAAATACATTTGGATAAAGACAGATGTCAAAGTTCAATCAGCATATGGAAAACTTTTCTATGGTGGCTACAACTGTGAGAATCACAGGACCTAAGTAATACAGTTATGGTTACTATTTTATATAGATGTATATATATCTATATATATAATGGGAAAATAGTAATAGTAAGAGTTTTTTCTATCGTGAAAGTAATATGTACGTGTAATGTTGGGTGTCCAGCTTTAAGTTCAGAGGGTGAATCCTTGAGAAAAATCAATTGAGAAAATTAAAAAACTAAAACAAAAATTTTGGCAATTTAGGGACATTATGAAGTTACATTCAGAACCTCTCCCCAACCATGTTCAGAACAGAATACAGACAGAGCAGGATTTTGCTGTGAAATCACAGCACCACCATGTGGTTGGAAAACGAACATGGTCCAAGTAGTAACGAAGAATTAATCATGGTCATGTTTTGAATGTTTTTGTTCTTAAAAGCCTATTCCCTTTGTAATGTTTTGTATTTTAGACTTACTATATTCACCTTAAGTTTCTGATGTACAGGAATGGAAGGTTTAAATGTGCAGGTAACACTATTACTATCAGGGACTTTGAGACAAACTTTTGTTGGTTGGGTCAGAAACTTCCACATAGCAGCATTAGATAATCTGAGCTAAACCTGACTATATAAGGAGATAGAGATTAAAGGGGATTGACGTCATACAGATATCACAATGTGAATTTTAATCACACATAGTGATGGAGGACTGAGGTTTTCTAAGTGCATGATGGTTTATCTGGCTGTGTGTCAGCTGTGTGTTAATATGTTTTACTTTTTCATAAAATAACACTCATATGACATCTGAGCTATGGCTTCAACAGTAGTTCAGAACACTGACAAAGTTTTTTAAAGAATTTTAGAATTTATTTTTTAGAATGCCACAAAAATCCAGATTACAAAACGACATATTTATTTCAATTTCCATTCAAGAAACAGAAGTGAAAGACACCTGAATCTGGGACTAAACCACTCTTTGTATCTTCCAAAAAATGAAGAAAACACTTTCAGTTGCACTTTGCTGCCAGCTGTCTTTTGCAAAATTATATTATTTGTTCCAATTTCTTTAGCTGCATTCTTGAAAATGACCAACGGTGACATAGTTTGATTCACACAATATGGTGTTTTGGCCAATATGTTTATTCCCACATAGCTAGCAAAACCTGCACAATCTCAACATGGTCTGAATGTGTCCTTTGGGGTATTTACACCAAAAGAACTGCATCTCAAAGGAAGTCCTTTAAAAGAAATAGGACAACAGTCCAGCAAAGATCTTGACTTGATCTGTCTACTGTTGGCTGAAACTTCATCAAAAAATGGTCTCCACGATTGGCTGTCAGAAGCCATTCTAATTGAAGAGGAAGAGGGAGAAAAAACTGAGATATGTAAAATGACCAAAGAAGTGGACTGAAAACCAGGAAAGCAGATCTGATGGAGGTATTACTCTTCCTTAGATCCTTGCCCTTATAATAATAAATAAAACCTAAAGCTTACGGACTGGCCAAAGAATAGATTTACAATGCCTTTCAAGAAGCACTGGAGAACAATTCCTGAAGAACACCAAGTGAAATATAAAGAAAGCTTGTCTGAAAGTGTCCAGGCAGTGTTGAAGAAAAAGGAAGCACATATTGACTTCCATTGTATCATATCCTGTACATTTGCACATTTCTAAATAAAATAAAAAAAACACTTCCCCTATTGCATTTTTTAAAAGAAATAACGTTTGGTTCAATACTTCATTCTGTCCATTTCAATAGGTTAACTCTAATTATATGATCTTGAATAATATACTTATTCTCAACCATGAATGAATGATTACATCTTTGTTGAGAAGACCAGGTGGGTTATTGGATGCTTTGTTTCTGACGTTGCAGAAGGATGAATTGAAAGTACTATAAATAAATAAATAGATATGAAAGGGTGGGGGTCTGTGAGCGAGAAGGGTGGGGCGGTTACAGCGGAACCCGGATGCTGACGCTGACCGATGAAGAACAGGAAGCAGGAGGGACGATGAATCGGGGATTATAGCGGAGCAGAGGAGGACATCCCGTTAGTGATAACCGGTCCTGTGGATGGGGGCAGCCTCTGGTTTGGTTTCAAGTTTATTCTTCTTGGAGTGGTATTCTTTTTCGAGCTACTCTGTTTTGTTTTTTTCTTTTTCTTTTTTGTGCATCCAACGGCAACAGCCTCGGCTGAGGGAGGAGATGCTGTGATATGATGAGAGTAGCCGTCCAACGGGGAGGGAGGGAGCAAGAGGGACCACGGCGAAAGGGGAGGCGGGGAGTCTGCAACCATCAGGACAGCTAAGGATGCTTGTTGTTTCTAGAAAGAAGATTATTAGTCATTCTGCTCCGGCTCATTGAGCGCACCCCTTTCCGCCGCATTTGTCCCGGCCCGGGGGCGCGTTTGGCCTCTCTGCCCCGGTCTGCCTGGAGGCTCTTTGCCTTTTAATTCATGCTCTCCCTCCTCTTCCTCTCTTTCCCGATGCAGGGCCAGGGAGGGGGTGAGCCAAAGTGTGCACCGGATATTGGAAAACCCATTCTTCTTGCTGATGCCGTTGTTATAATAGATTATAATCTGGACAACGCCGCATCTACACAGACAGGCAGATCTCGACCAAACGAGGCCTGGGCTGACAGGAGAGGAGAATGTATGAGGTTGAGTGGGATTATAAGAACATTTTTGCAAGGCAGCAGTTGAGTGGACGGAGGTCCCTGATATCGATCTGAGAATGGATTCAATCACGGTATTCTGACTGAGGATATTCGAGACTGTGCTCTCACAGAAATCAATCAGTGGCAAATGTAGCCTTCCTTTCCAGGTCTGAACGAGATTCGTCTTTACTTCTCCACTTTGGCCAGATATAAGCTACATATGATCAATCAGCTTTAAACTATTGTTATTTATAGCAGGGGGTTGGGTTTTTGTGACTATTCGTTGTGTTGTGAACATCACCCATCACTTACACCGGTCAAACCTCAACACGTACGGTGGTCTTTTTCTACCTTCCCTGCGAATGCTGCTGCTTTTTGGGCTGTGGTAACGGACACTGGAGACGTCATACCAGACCTTACAGAAAAGGAAACGGAGCCGGTTTCTCACTCCCCAGCGCGGCTCCGACAGCCCCTGTAAGTGCATGGGAGTAGCCTGCAGGGCCCGGCATCACATCACGACCAGCCCTCCGCCGCACAGCCGCCTGTGATGCGCGTTACGGCATTACGCACGAAGCACGAGCGAGCGCTATCTTGATTTGCCTTATTTCAGGGGGGGTTCAATTTAATCTCGGGAAGAATGAGCAGCAAGGAGCTGACGGTGGGCCAGTCCAGCCAGTATGTGGGGCCTTACCGGCTGGAGAAGACCCTTGGGAAGGGGCAGACAGGTAGGATCCCTTTCATTTACTTCTTGCCGAAGCAGTAAAATCCTGAAAAAGAATGATAATAATAACAATAATTATGATGACAATAGATTAAAAATAGGGCGCCCATGAGTCCTGCGGATACAAAGCTGCTACACCGCAATGCAAAATGACTCTGTGTAATGTTAAGAGCTCACGAAGTAATCCCTTTTTATACTCTAAATCTTCATGGTTTTAATCCTTTTAGTCTTCTTACAAGGTTTCAGATTTTAGTATCTGAAGATGGAGGGCTGGGCTCTTGTTTGTTTTTCAGGAGTTTGTTGCAATGTTAGTAAAAAAATTTAAAATAATTTACAACTTTTCCATCCTGTTTAATGTTTCATCATGATTTATGAAATGATCTCCCCCCCACTGTGTGCCTCTCAGGACTTGTGAAGTTGGGTGTTCACTGCATAACTGGGCAGAAGGTGGCCATAAAGATTGTAAACCGAGAAAAGCTCTCCGAATCAGTTCTAATGAAGGTAATGTACTTTTTGAGTCCTTTTTTTTCTTTTCAAATGTTGTATTTTTCACTCAGTTAACATGTAATATTTGTCGATGAGGTACAATAAATATTATGAGTTATTGCTATTCCTGTAGAGAGCCACTTAGTCCTGGAGGTGAGATCATACGGCCTGTGTGTTCTGCATAGAACACTGGAGGGACCCATTCTTACTGGGTGGGGTGGGGGTTTACGGCCAGTGGGCATACATTGAGAGAAACACATGCCATGAAATACAGTTTATATGGGTGTGGTTAAACTAGCGTCTTAACGGGAGAAAATGCAACTCAACATCAGTAGAGAAGTCATTCTGAGGCTGTTTCTTCAATAAACCTGAACAAGCCAGGTATTCAAAAGGCCAGCATCCAACAGCTATCAAAATTACAGATAAAAATAGCTTGATTAGAATAAAAAATATATATTATATCTGGGGCTAAAATATATTCTTCATACAACGCAACCACCACACTAAGTGACACCATTCTGCTGGTAATCTTGACTATCTGTAAACACAACATTTTTTGCTGAAAGTTTGCCCCTCTTTAGATTTTGGCTTAGTCCTTTGGTGAAGGTTAAACATAAATTCTTCTTGCTATATGTTTTTGAAAACTCTCATGGTGAGTTATAAAGTAAATGTCTTTTTACAATGCTACAGTTACCAAAACAATACATGGTAATATTAGGAACCAATTTGTGTTCTTAGATTACTTACATTTAAAGATGTAGAATTTTGAGAGATTCTGAGTGTTTAAAAATAGTTAAAGAGTATCTTATCTTTCAGTCTTCAAGATGGATCCGCTTGGATTGTTATGATTAAGCTCAGATCATGTAAACCTGCAAACTTTAGATATAGTATCGGGGGAAAGAGTCTTTATGTCTGTCTAGAAAAGTCTGTCAGTGTTGTAAGTTAGAGCCATTGAGTGTGTGGGCACTTCTCTACCCTCAACAATAAGCAATGATTTTAGTCTGCTAATCAAGCCCTCTTAAGAGAGCAAAAGCATCTGACGTAAAGTTAACTGGAATGAAATGTCTTTTCACGTTGGCATGTCTAATGTGGCTGATTTCCTGCTTGAACACTGCTTTAAAAAATAAGTGGTTACAAAGGAGGGGTAGTGTTGTGGACCCACATGGTAAATGATATGTGCAAAAGGCACCAGTACCTTCTAGCATGGCCATGTAGTACATGTTTTTGGGATGTGTTCCCAGTTATTGGTCAGCAATGACTGTGCCAAGCCAAGGAACATCCTCAATAACTTTGACCTCATTTGAATTTCACAACCTTTCCCTTTAACTTAATTCATCAAAACTTTGTTAGATTATGGCATTAGTGCTAAATTAATGTCTTTCGGATCAACAAATGGGTCTCTTTAAACATCTAGGCCTGTTTCGCCCTTTTTCAGCCTCACAAAGTCTGTTTAAAGGACAACAGGAATGACGTGAATTTACAGCCCAGTAGATCAATGCTCTTTTGATGTCAAGAGATGGTCAATATTGTGCTTGTTGTCTGCTATGCGGGAGACTGTTTTAGGTCATGTTCTGTACAGCAGCTGGTGGTGAAAGGAGATATGAATAGAATTCAAAATGAGTCACTTTAAGGACAAGCTCGAGCATGGTCACATAGTTTTGAATTTTTACTCGCTGCTTTGATAACTTAACTTAGACAAGCCTCACTGATCTTACAAGATATGATAATGAGATAAATGTAAGCACAATACAGGTGAAACTCTTCGCATGATATCCCAGAGGAAAGATATTAATGCATTTCATGACAAAGATGATTATGTGAAGCAAGGTAGCCGCGATCTGTACAAGTTCAATTGAATACTGAGAACAACAAGCAGCTTACTCATTATATTGTATAAATGTTTGTTTATTAGATTCCAGGTGAACAGCAATACAGAACAAACAGAAACACATGAAATGGAGAAAAAAAAACTCACAAGTAAATCGCAAAATGAAATGAGAATGAGGGGAATGAAAAAGAAAGACCCAAGATGAGATACTATTATGATTGAAGGGAAGACAATCATCCAAACCTGCATTTACTGAGACAATGACATAATACTGTTTTAAACAAATACTGTTGCAGTGGTCATGGCTTTCTGAAAGGAATCGACATCCAGTAGTAATTTAGATATTGTCATGTTTGTTGGGTTTACTGTAACTATTCTGTGTCTGGGAAATTTTAGGGTCAGGATGAGACCTGAATTTTTTACCAAGAACTGAACTTTGAGTTCAGGCAAATATCCAGCACTCAGTCGAGATATATAATCTGAAGTAGATATTTGGCAGAATACTCAATTTTGAAAATCAGAAGGGAATTCTGAAGAAGGACTAAACTAAGAGTTACTCAGACCTCAGCCAAGCAAATATACATTTTCATCTATGTATCACAAACCTCAACATTTAATTGTTTTTTTATTAACACCTCATCCTGTGAGTTATACACTGGATCATCTTTGATCCACATAAACAGATAATTGTTTACTCTGTCACAGTTTTCCCAAAATGAACGACATCCATTTAGCTAAGTTTCGAGCTAGGAACCAAGTCCTTATATTGCACATGGTTGCTATCTGACTAACTTCTAAAATCTAATACCAAAATACCAATTATAAGGTTGTACATGACTAAAAGGTCTTAAAAAGCTGAAGCACTCATCAACTTTGAACTATTTGAAAATACAAGAAATAGTTAGCTATCCAACAGTTCTGACACAATCTCTTTGTCATGGCAGATCACTAGAATTTGTTAACCAGCACGCAATAAAATGAAAAAATATTGACAACATTTTTTATAATAAAGAGTACTTTCTGATAATAAGTGACATTGTGTAGAATACGCTAGTAACAACTAAGCTTGAACAGCTTCGATATATCCTGGTAGAATTCATCTAAGGTTCTTAAAACTGAGAGCAGGGAGAGTGTTGTCCATTACTGTAAACGGTCCCATTTAGAATAACTGCATGTCTCTTTCATCTTTCAAAATGAATTTTTGAGTGCCCGTTTTTCAGATGCAGACACATATGCATGTATTAACATATAATTTTGCATATGCAGGAAATACGGCACTGTGATATGTGAAAGTGGTTACAGATTTTGACTGTTAAGAATCTAAAATATACGAAACACCAACCTAAGCTATCATGTCATGTCCAAGGTAAAGGTAGTGCCTCAATGGTTGTAAGCTGCATGGAGGTGTTGCCTCACAGTGCAAATGTTCTCGGTGAGTTCCTCATATTATCAAAAAATACGCATAGTAGCTCAATTTGAGTTAGTGTAAGTTGTTGTTTTTCAGTTGTTTTTCTCTCTGTGACCCTGTGATAATGTTCGATTTGTCCAGGTCGCACCATATCTCTTGGCCAATGGCAGATAGTACGGGCAGCAAAGCCTGTATTGCCTTCAATGCCTAAAAAAAATGGAATGGATAGATTAATATCTATTCAGGACATTAATTGTATTTATTGTCCAGTTTACACCTGGTTTTTGTTATCTGATTTGTCAACACTTGTTGAGTCTTAAGGCTGGGATAAATGTGCCGGGACGTTTGAGTCTTTGTCAGTGTTATATGGGGATGCCATTCAAATCCTAAATCTTTAATGTGTTGTTTGTTCTGGTAGGTCAGTACATGAGTTTATGAGCTGCTGAATATTTGTTCAACCTGAGCATACATAGTTGTCTCATAGTTACATCTAGCATTTTTACAATGAAGGGATTTAAGTCTCTTGGGATGATTGTAGTTGATTACAGTGTTTTTATTTTTATATTCACCCTATCTGTTTAATATTCATCATTTCTAACAGGCGATTAATTAACCCAATGTATTTCATGATTGCTATCTGACTTTTTTATGATTGCTACTTCTCTTCCTTCCTCTTCTCTCTGACATCTCCATTTTCATCATTTCTAACCTCCTTTTTCTCTCTTAACCTTTCCCTCCCTCTGTCTGTGCAGGTGGAGAGGGAAATAGCTATTCTTAAACTAATAGAGCACCCTCATGTTCTGAAGCTGCATGATGTCTATGAAAATAACAAATACCTGTAAGTATCTTTAAATCCTGCCCTTTTCTGTTCTCTAAACATTTCCGCCAAAACCAGTAAAAATTAAACCGAATATACAGAGGATATAGAAAGCTGTGGAAGTTTTAATCCCATTTATCTTCTGTTTTAATTCTTGTTAAATGTCTCAGGTACCTGGTGCTGGAGCATGTGTCTGGCGGGGAGCTGTTTGACTACCTGGTGAAGAAAGGCAGACTTACCCCCAAAGAGGCCAGGAAGTTCTTCAGACAAATCATCTCTGCCCTTGACTTCTGCCATAATCATTCTATATGGTTTGTGAGAAGCCAGACTAAATATTTCCATGTATGTTCTACACTTTTCTGTATAGCGTTTCCATCCTGGAGCCTATCCCAGGGGACAACTTACGATAGGTACACCCTGGAAAAGTCGCCAGTCCATCACAGGGCGACACAGAGACAAACAACCACACACACCAACATTCACTCCAATTATCCAGTTAACCTAGCCTGAATGTTTTTGCACGGTGGGAGGAGACAGAATACACCGAGAGAACCCATGCAGACACAGGGAAAACATGCAAACTCCACACAGTAAGGTCCTAGGAATCTTCTTGCCATGAGGTGATGGTGCTAACCTCTTCCCTGTATAGCTTTGTACTTCTTTTGAATGCTCTTGAGAGCCTTAGAAACCTCTCTGTCACCCTACACTCTGGTCAGGCTGTTGAAAATGATAAATTGAAAATATATATATTTTTGTCCTCTAAAAAAATATTTATATGCTTTCCTGTGATAAATATACCAGTATGATAGTATAGAAGTGCTTTATTACTGCAATCTAGTTCAAATAACACAAGTTCCTTCTTGTAATAAGGGACACATTTTCAGAAAACACATAAATATAGCATAAATAGAATTTTGCACAGAAGTGACCCTTATTCTGAATATATAAGAGCTTATGGTAGATAAGTAATTAATTTAATGTTGGAGCGGTGCCGAGCAGTGCAGTACATTTTTATTTGACAGAATTCAAATCAATAGTCGAGTAAAGCAGCTATGAATTAGCTATTTAAATATTTCTTTTAAATGAAAAAAGAAAGTTGGCTTGTAATAATTCACTTATGCTCTACAACTCAGCTCAAGCTTTGCTTTTAAATGCAGATTTTTTTATTTTGTTTAAGGTGTATGACCAAGATCATGTGTCACAAATGACACAAACTTTAAACTTATATGTATATTAATTAAGTGGGGCTAAAACCAACACATTTAGAACAAACTGTGCAGTGTTCCGCAAGGCTGTCACCACCAACAACATTGGATGTATTTAATTTATTTTATTTGACCCATATGGTGTTACTGGGAGGACATTTCAATATTTCAAGAAAAATCTTGGTTAATCTTTTAACTGTTAAGGTAATGTTGTGTTGCAATGCTCAGATTGGCAATATTTCTGTAGCAGGGTTTGATATAGACAAAGAGCACCTTAAAGAGGCAGAGTCTTTAAAGGTAAAGCTGGTAAGAGGTTCAGAAATCTGCAAACATCTTCATCCAAACATTGAAGATAAGTCTCAGATTAAAATATTGAATTACATACTATTAAGATATTCAAAGAATGAGGCAGAATTTATTTTTGCACAGCTGAAAATCAATATTTGATACTTGGGATCTTTGGAGTTGCCGGCAGTACTTTATTAATTGGTAAACTAGCATTATTTAGTACAATTCATACTTAATAAAGTGTCCGTTAGTTATTGTAAAACAAGCACCTTATTTTGCATACACAAGATAAATAGTGTTTTTGTGTTTTTTCTGTGTGTGTCTACAGTCACAGAGACCTAAAGCCAGAAAATCTTCTTTTGGATGAAAAGAATAACATAAGGATAGCAGACTTTGGCATGGCCTCACTACAAGTTGGGGACAGTCTGCTGGAAACCAGTTGTGGGTAAGTAGTTCAATTGATAGCTTAAGAAGCCATTTTAGAATTATTTCTGATCATGTTTTCAGGAAATCCGTGTCTTTATTTCATTATGAATTATATAGCAGTAAAGATTTGTTTCTGATAGATATATGGAGTTCCTGTTTGACACGCACAAAAAATATCATAATATGTCAGCTGATAAAATGTTGTTTGCTCACTGTGTACAGAACAACAGTAACATCCCCTTATGGATCTTTTGTTCCTTTTACTTAACAACTGGCAGCGTTGATTTAAAAGTGTAAAATGATCAACCATTGATTTATCAGAATGAGTCTAGATTTGGAGATAGAAATTAAGAAGAGATTGTGCCAAATCACTCATTCAATTTTTTCTGGTGTGGCTGTCTTTGTAATCTCTATCTTTTCTCTTGTCACTTCACACAGATCTCCTCATTATGCTTGCCCGGAGGTCATAAGGGTAGGTTTCCACCTTCTCGGTGTGTAATGAAGTGCAATTGTGTGTGTGTAATTGCATGTCTCAATTGTTCCTGCTGTGGATTTGTATTATAGGGGGAAAAGTATGATGGTCGCAGGGCTGATGTTTGGAGTTGTGGAGTCATCCTCTTTGCTCTTCTTGTGGTAAATACCTCCCTTTTTTATAAAAAAAAAAAAAAATGTTTATACGATATCTATTACTGGTAGATCAATATAAACCCAAGCCAAACTGAGATTTAAGCATTACATTTCAATTTTATTTAGTTTGTGCTCCCTAAGCAGGAGGACAATGAGCTGATGTGCCCATGATTACTAGCATAACTTTTCCACTAATTGTCAGTCAAGAGCTCAAATGTGTGCAGGTAGTTTGGAAAAAAAATGTCTAAGGAAAAGGAATTGAGTGTCAGATTTTATCATTGCCCATCTGTTCTGTTTAATTGATCTTTTTCCATGCTTCGAACATCCCACCAGGGTGCCTTGCCCTTTGACCATGACAACCTGCGGCAGCTTCTGGAGAAAGTAAAGAGCGGAGTTTTTCACATGCCACACTTCATACCTCCAGACTGCCAAGCTTTACTAAAAGGAATGATTGAAGTCAACCCTGATAAAAGACTGACGGTAAGAAGGGAAAGATGTTGTCATGCATATTTGTCATAAACTTCTCAGCAGTATACAGCATACAGAAAGCTTTAGATGAAATTAATGAATACCTAATTTACAAGCTGAAATGTAGCTTTGGAATCAATAGGCTCTTTCTTGTTTTTGATTGAACAGCAAGCAGATCAGATACATGTCATATAATAGGAAAGAGTTATTCCATTGATTGCAGAAACTTTATGAAATCATTATCCTATTTAAAGTAGAACAGGAAAGAAGCAGTGACACAGCAAAATTGAAAACTCAGAAATGACAGAGCACCTCAAAAGGTCAGAGCTGTATTCCTCTTACATATATTCTGTCTTTTGTTAGTTGGTTAATATTAAGGGTTTAGCAACTCACATTTGCACTTGGGTGACTGGAACTAAAACAGGCCAATGTTGATTCAGTGTTGGGAGACAAAAACAAATCAATTTAAAAGCCTTACATGGGTTATCAGCCCATTTTTAGCTCAAATAACTATCCAGCTAAGAAGATCAAGTTCCTATATAAAATGTGATCTCACCTGGCTGAAATTTCACAAACCAGTAATGAGAGATGTTATTATTTAGCGAGAAATGTTTGATGTATGATATATATTTTATAATCTGATCGTAAGAAATGCTCTTAAAATAAGTATATATACAGGTTTGGCCAATGTAGTCTTTCAACAAACAGGTCCAGAGGCCTTAGTCCATATTCCAACAGAGTCAGTCTGCTGGAAAAAGAAATTACAAGTCTGGTTTTAAGACAGAACAGTAACTGAATCTGACTTAAGACCTTATAAAGACAGGATCAGGGATGAGCCAGGGGCAGAATCCATTTAGGTTGGGCTGCCCTCGAGCACAGGGGTTAGTGAAGCTCTGTATTTCTTTTTACCTGGAAGATAGGATTTTTTTCCTGAAGCCACTTCTTAAAATGTGAGGATCAGTGAACAGAGCAGAGGGAACAGTGCTGGATAAGAAAAGAGTAAATAAATGATTGACCGAATTAGCTGAGCAGCATGAAAAATAATGAAAAATTGCGGCGTGAGAATTAATTTATACTTTAAAAAAAGAGACAACAGTGATAATATGTTTCCGAGGGGGCTGTAAAGTGAAGACAGAGAGAGAAGTCTCGTTAGTCATCCAGCAACAGCAGCAGAGATTTAATCAAAGCTGCGAGTTTGTCTGATGAGCTGTTGATTAATGGAGCCTGAAACCAGGTCAGACAGTCTCTCTTTCTCTCTCTGATTGCTACTGATCTCCATGGAAACCAGCCATTGTATAAATAGACATTTTTTAGTCAGCTCATCAGCTGATTAGTTTAGAAATAAACTCCCATACAGTCCATGTTCTATGATATTTCAGAAAATGGCTAACAAAAGTAGAACTCCTATTTCCATGCAGTTCCATTCTGCTGATGTGCAAGCCTATAGCAGGCCTATTTTTTTTACATGTAGAACTGCAGCTGCTCCATTACTCTACTCCCAAGAGATTGTCTGCAGCAATGATGCAATGGTTACCTAAAAGCAGTCTAATGCAGGCTGTATAATGTATGAGAGGATGTAGGACAGTTGCAGGAAAATGCTTGCTGGAGGCCTTGAAAACAAGGGTTTAAAGGCTACAATTAGCTACGCTGTACAGCAATGTAGCAAGCTAAAATGCCTTATTGACTTGTTCATTTAAGCCCGATAATACTTAAATGATATAAAGTCTGCCCGATCTCCCAAAAAAAGCGTATTTATTAAACACAAAGTCAGTTATTATGACACTTTTGCTGAAGTAGGAACAATACATGTTAACACAGCTGTTTAGCATAAAACTAGCTAGTTCCATAGAAGTGGAGTTGAGACTGTTGTGTTTTTTTGTATTTGTCTTGTAATCCAATTATACATTTTTTAAATATGAGTGAGCAAAAGTAGAATTGCCGTTAGATTTAAGAGTTTTGCACTGAATGTGAATCTTTAGCTTCCAAAATGAAAATTCTTTTTTATACCAGGGCTCCGTATCCAAATCCAATTTTCTGATGTGTTTATTTAATGATACTCCTGAGTCAGTTAAGAAAGCATATTCATGTTAGTTTTGTAATAATGCTTGTCTTCAATTACAGCTAGAAGCAATACAGAAACACAATTGGTACCAGTAAGTACTCTTCCCTTGTTCTTTTACTGTCAAGTTCAGCCTTGACCATATCCCCATTTTATATTTATTTTTAAAATGCAGAAATTAAGATTAAAATGTGTAAAGCTCTATCGTTAAGACAGATGAAATAGCCAAATGTACCTGAGTTAAAGGATCCAAAATAGTTCCTCATATTGTCACTCTAGTGCTTTGAAGATGTTGAACTGGTATTTGATTAACATGTAATAAGAAATAAATGGTCTAACATGCAGAATAACCTTAATAATATTAAATAAATCCTAATTTGGGCATATGTATGTCAGCCTTCTGGAACATAATATGGAAATATGATATGGATTATGCTGATTAAAACTGAGCTTTTTAATCTGTGATTTATTTCCTTTTTTCCATTTGCTAAAGTTTATTGAGTTGAACGTTAGAATTATATTTAAGGTTTTCATACCTCACGCTGAGTCTGACACATTTTTTTCAGATCTCATATGACTGATTATGACCTATGACTGATCTCAAAGAAGGACTGATCTCAAAGATCAGTCATATTTGGCGCAGATATGGATACGTGTGTGTGAAGTCTTTACTGAAACTCAGACTCTAAACATAATGTAACCAGTTTTAACAATTTCACAGAAGCTAAATAATCTTGATTTATTCCTTTTTATTTTTCCCCCCCAAAATGACAGGAAAGACCGTTTTTTCCAGTTTTCTCACGAATGCTTATTACTGTGTTACCCAGCTGTTGTCGCATGGAACCTTTTTCTTAGTTGATGCTTTATTTAAACCTTGCAGTGTTTCTATCAGCGGTGGCTTTTCCTTTTATGTTTTAGGGGTGGTCGTAATGAGCCTTGTCCAGAGCAGCCTCCACCTCGTCGGGTGTGTGTGAAGAGGATCTTGTCATTAACAGATCTAGACCCTGATGTTCTGGAAAGCATGTACTCTTTGGGATGCTTTAGAGACCGGGATAAACTCACACAGGACCTTACAAGTGAGGAGTGAGTAAATGCATCCCATTTAACTTTGAATTATCATTATATCAATAAGAAGCATACATGGTGGAATTCATGACAAGCCTCAACTTAAATGTAGTACTATTCTTAATCTCCTTACAAATGAAAGCATTCAGAACATAGGTTATGAGTCTTTTGTTGCATCTGTGTTATTTGTCTAGGAGTTTTTATGCTACATATAGTCACAATAAACTAAGAAAAAAGAGAGACAGGTTTGAAGATTGTGAGCATATGGTAGTAGGCATACTAAATAAGGAACATTCAAATAATTATGTGGTCACATCGGTATACCTTTCTCTGTCTTCCCCCTTTCTTTTTATCTCATTTGTCATGTTTTATGCAGCCAGTTATAAACAATTAACTATGCGGGTTAGTGAATACAAAAGCAACCATGTAAACTGTCTTTTTCTTTTTATAACTTTCCCTCAACTGATGGGTTATTTGTCTATCCATACCACATCAGCAGCAGTGCTGTTTAAGTTGAGGACACAATAAACATTACAGAAGGAGCAATCCTTACTTTTTATCTGCAGTTAAAACGTAAGTTGTTGGTTGCTAAAATGGTGATTCCATAACATGGAATTGCAGATGGTATCACATAAGTTACTTTCACACTCCAGCCTGAACAACAAGATATTAGAATTTCACAAAAAATTGGATTTAAAGTGACTGAGTCTGTACAGACAGGTCACTTTTGTCCGACATGCACGTCATTGACACTCAACAGTTGCCATTTTTCTCCTTCCTGGTACGCAAAAGAAGAACTAACTAACCATGGTTACTGTTAACATCACATCGGCTAATTACCATTCGGCGTCATTCTTGGCTGACTTCAAAGCAGAATCATGATTCTATCCAGCAAACTATTTTGGATCATGTTTGAAGGTTGATAGACTAATTTTGAAACTATTTGAATCAGAAGTCAGGTTTGCCTGTTTAGATGGCTTCTTAGCATTGACCACATCCCACTTTGTAATTGTGTTAACAAAAAGAGAGACACCAACAATTAAAACCAGCTGTTTAAACTTTTGTTTCAAACCACCAGAGCATTCTGACAAATGCAAAAATATTGTGAACAAATTATACCCAACAAATTAGATCATCCTCTCAGTTTCCTCATATTTAGCATATGTTCACCATATTTATGATGTGAATTAACCTACAATTACACTGTATAAATACTTGTAAACATAATTAAAGCTAATTTGTAAAGCATAAATACAAATATTAAAACTCAAATCTATTTGTTTGATATAAATTGCTACATGTATAATGAAAATAACAACACCTGATGCAATATCAATAACCTCATACGACTGGGGGAAAATGTTTTCCCACTTTTAACACATCTATTAAATAAGATTTTCCAGCGCTTACATTTTTTCTGTCTGACTATATTTATGTCGGCAGGGAGAACCAGGAGAAAATGATCTACTACCTCCTCTTGGACAGGAAGGAGCGATACCCCAGCTGTGAGGATGAGGACCTGCCGCCTAGAAATGACGTTGGTGTGTAAACTTAGAAAGCATACTTTAACTTGAATTAAACCAATTCAAAATGCAGCATTTGATTTCGTTGGCTTATTTTCACTCAATTTCATGTTGCTTTTTCAAGATCCTCCCAGAAAACGCGTGGACTCCCCCATGCTGACTCGTCACGCCCGTTGTCGCCCGGAGAGAAAGAGCTTGGAGGTTCTCAGTGTCACAGAACAAGGGTCTCCCACCCCACCTCGCAGGGCCCTGGAGACTAATGCACACAGCCAAAGGTACTAACTAAGTGTCATAATTTAATATAATATAATATAAATTTAATATAATTTAAACTGTTGATAAGAAACTCAGCTTTCAGGCATAACTTTTAACCAGTTATTCCAGTTCATCTTGATTTCTCTAATTGTATGTTAATATCTTTTAACCTCCAAAGGTCTCGTTCAGTCAGTGGAGCATCCACTGGTCTGTCCTCCAGTCCTCTCAGCAGTCCCAGGGTAAGCATCTTACTCTGTTCCGCTATGCCACATATATCATATAATACTGTGCATAACATTAGGGATACAAATTAGGAACACTTTTCCCTTCTACTTTGAATTAACTTACTTCTATTATGTATGTTTATCTTTTTTTTTATGCATTAAATGGCACAAATTGCACACAACACATTTAAAGGGAACATATAGATAGATAGATAGAATTAATTCCCACCCTACAAAATACGTCAAATACAAATATGACTTCAAACCTTCCCTGACAATGCATAACAGCACAACTCTTTCATTTCAGCATGAGTATATAGTTCTTAGATAAAGCAATACATTTGTCATCTTCTGCTTTTGATATTGGTTTCAGTTATCAGAAGCAAATTTCCTGTGCTGTAACTATTTGTTCGCTGATAATGTTTGTTCAGGCGGTCCCTGCTTTTCATACTTTTCCATCATACTGTCACATAGTCATGTCATACCCATCATACAGCCTAATAAAACCTTGGTGTACATTTTCCAAAATGAACGAAAACTGAAGGTGATGCAAACAATATAAAAAAGAGAAATGTGATTACCAAACCCTACCTCCCTTTGGGGAATCTAATCCAGGCACGTTGACAAATCATGACCATTAATCATGTTTCATGACCATTTCTTCCTGTTTCATCTGTCCCAATTCCTTTCCTTCCCTTTTTTCATCTCTCTCTGTCTGCCCATCAGAGTCCAGTCTTCACTTTCAACCAATCAGAGGTCACCTCCACCTCCGCTTCCACCTCCAAAGAGCAAAAATCAGGAAGTGCCACCGCCCCTCGGCCCACCCGTCCAACGCCTGACCCAAAAACCCAGACTTTACCCTCAAAGGGTCCCGCTGACCGGCCCCAGCTTCACTCCATGAAGTCCCTCCCTCTCCAGACACCCCGCTCTCCTTCCCCTTCCCCCTCCCCCATTCTCTCCCCCGTTCCACGTTTCTTCAACTTCCCCTCTCCATCCATCTTCAGGTCCAAGAATGCCCACTCGTCCTCTAACTCATCTGCCACCCCTCCCCCTGTGTCACAGGTCACGCCACACGGCTCACCGCTGCCCACCCCACTGGGCACACCCGTGCACCAAATCCAACACCCTTCCTCCACCACCCCTCCCTCCTCCTCTTCCTCGTCTTCTTCTTCCAGAGCGGATGGAGCCGGAAGCGCCTCACTGTCCCTTACCCCGCCCTCTAGCCCAGGTGGCAGCGGTGGTTTGGCAGCCTCCAGCTCCGCGCACTGGAGAACAAGGCTAAACTCGTTTAAAAACAACCTGCTGGGGTCCCCACGATTCCACCGGCGCAAACTGCAAGGTGAGTGAAGATTTCAAGGAACAAAGCTACAAAGCTAAAGCTAGCTCCTAATTTTAGTGATGCAGCTTTAGGCTTCCATCAGCTCGATCATAACTGAGTGGAATAATTCAGCATTTGCAGCCAAGACGGAATATCTTGCTACCTGCCTGCAGCTGTATTGAGTAGGGGCTGATTTTGTGATAACCTCAAATTAGGACTATTTAATCAGAGCCTATTAACTATTTTTTCTCTCCCTCCCTTCATATCCCTCTGTCTGTGTTTTGTTTTCTTAGTTCCTACGTCGGAGGACATGTCTAGTTTGACTCCAGAGTCCAGTCCTGAGTAAGTGCAAACATTTCTCAAATAATTTTCCTCTATCTTTTTAAAGTATTCTGCCCAAAAAAGCTGTTAAGGAGCTTATATAGAGTGACTGCTTTTTCAAACTACCTTTGGATTTAAATATGAAACAAACATATCTGAAACAGTGTTTTGGAAATCAGAGAATTGCTTAAATCGTACAAAAAGGACTGGTGTTGCAAAAGAGTCCCTTTCAGGGCTCATTTTTTTTAACTTCCTGTCAGTTGTCACTATCTGTGGTCCCTGTATGCCTCACATATTCACCTCAACTCACTTGTGACCCTACCTGCCTAACTTTAACCCCTCTACTCGGTTTCGGTTATTCAATTACTACCAAGTAATACCTCAATGTGAGAGGATTCATTACAGAAGGTCAGCCTGAGACCATTTGTACATTAACCCAACAGAACCCTGAAAGATATCATGGCCACGATACACCTGCTACACCTGTTGTTGTGAAAAAAATCTCTCAGACCTGCAGCCTGTAGACATCACATTTTTGCAAAGAATGTATCTGGTCCAAGTCAAGTCAAGGCAAGCAGACTGATGAAATGTAAAGTGGAGTTATGTAGAGTACGTACAAGTGAGAAGATTTGTCTTGACTGGTCTTGGAACTGGCGCTTATTTGAGCACAGAAAACTTTTCAAAGGTATTAGGGTCTCTTAGTAAACCTACGTATATCTGAGCTCCTCCGTTTCAAATGAAGCTGTGGGGTGGGAGAAGATGGAGTACTGCTGATATTACCAGATATCTTCAGAGTGGGGCATATAGAGCTGCACATTTCTGTTTATATTATATTATATATTCAGCATTTGATTGCATTATTGCAGGTTTGACTACTTATCCGTAAGGCAGGAATAACTTTAACTGTTTGTAAAGGCATGTACTCCCTGATTTTGCTTTATTTGTTTGGGAATTTAATTGAGCAGTTACAGTTTCCAGGTAGCTCAATGGTCACATTTATGCCAGTCGACTGGTTTAACAGAAAGTTTGATTAGAGACACATTTTGATTAAATCAACAGGTAAAAAACTACTGTCTGTAACTATAACTACTGTAACTACTTATTTATTGTGATGTATGCAATATGTGACTGGAAGTGTTGTGTCACATCTGCAGATTGGCTAAGAGGTCCTGGTTTGGTAACTTCATCAGCCTGGAGAAGGAGGAGCAGATATTTGTGTTAATCAGAGACAAGCCACTCAGCTCAATCAAGGCAGACATCGTCCATGCCTTTCTGTCCGTGAGTGCAAACATCTTGCAGGCTTTGAACACTACTTCTGTTGAAAAAAACTCTCCACCTTTGCAGAGTTAAAGTCTGTTCTGCTCTCTTAGTATCACCTTTCTCTATTTGTCTCCACAGATTCCGTCTCTCAGCCACAGTGTGGTGGCTCAGAACAGTTTTCGGGCTGAGTACAAGTCCACCGGAGGCCCCTCTGTCTTCCAGAAGCCCATCAAGTTCCAAGTATTATTCTGTCTTATTCCTTTCTGCTTTCTTTTTACTTCTTGAAAACAATGTGAAATTAGAAAAAGACAATTATAATTAGCCTAAATAAAATTGCAGGACTGTTAGAGGACATTTTACGCATTTGATATTTGATTTTCTGGTATAAATGTTTAAGTCTGGCTTCTGACATTGACAGAAACTCTTGTTTATAATTGTTGTTAAGCATTACAAGGTTAGATAGAGCGAGTTACAAAAACTGGATCTTTAAATATTATCTAATCTACTTTTTTCTACAACATAATCTCCATATAGGGCAGTCTTCTAAACTTCTTGTAGTATCTAGATGATGACGCAGAGTATTCCACTAAAACAGGATATGTGAATGTATGTCAATTTTTTCAGATTTATATTATCTAAATTCTTTTGTATCAGTCTCCATATCTTTTTTCAAACTTGTCATGCTCTTAACATTGTTACACTTACATCTTGTATAAAGAAGGTAAGAAGGAAGATCTTCTTAAAAGATCTTTAAATGGGCAGAAATGTTTTTCATTATCACTTTAGCTTTTTTTTTCTTTTTACAAAAGGGTTTTCATCGCTCTTTGGTACAACGGGATCAGTGTGAAAAAAGAGAGATACAACAAGCATTTTATTTTGGTTACATTTATTATAGAGAGTGCAAGAGTCACCGACATCGTTATAGAAACAAGAAATTTAAATTATTGGCAATATTTTCAAACTGCTTTTCAACTGCTTTTCAAATCAGGATTTTTCATTTTGAAATTAACTTTAATTTAATTCAAAATTAACAGACCACCCATTGTCTTTAGATCAGCCCTAATTTGCTCTCTAATCTTAAAATTAGGCTATGATTGTTTTGAACTCACTTTGTGTAGCATAAACACAGTTCAACCCTATAAATACAAAATGTAGATGAATACAAAAAAGTACTATTAGAATTTTTTAAACAACGTTTTGCCTATATGATGGTGCAGTAGGTCTCAGAAATGTAAAGATTTATGAGTGAATGGTTCTGGTACTGATTGGTTGCTCTTCTCCTGGAGGTGGACATAGTTTTCTCAGAGGGAGAGAGGGAGCGAGAGAAAGAACGAGCAGAGAAAGAAGGACGAAGGGAGATGGGAATCTACAGCGTCACCTTCACTTTACTGACAGGTAGGACACAGGCTAAGAAAGAAGAAGTTGGAAACATTGTTTACGGGTTCGATGGGATAGTTTTTCTTTCATTTATTTAACAAATTTACATGAAAAATAAGCAATTCAGGCTCAAACCTTCAGTAGGGCATACTTATTAACCTTTGGGAGGCTTAGCCAGGCTCTGACCACAGCTGTGTTCAGATGTTGGTTCCTTGTGCCTTTAATCCCCCCCTCAGGTGAAACTCATCTCAATCGTACTGAGATTAGGTGACCGACTCAGAGTTAATGGAGAATTAATCCGCTTGAACCTTTTTTAATATTGACTCCCTGTGGGACTTTTTTCCTTCCATCTTTTTTAAATGGTCCATGTCAGTATCCTTCTTTTGATACTGGTCTGGAGTCTAATCTTTCTATTTGGCAGTTTATAAACTCGATGCAGCTTGTGCCATACACTTTGTACCCAGTCTTCATCGTGATAGCCCTCATTGTTGGTATTTCTGCCTCCTCAAGAATGAATTCCAACTGACTAATAAATAGGATTTTGGATTTTTCTCTTAGATTCCATTATCACTGTTGTCGTCTGTAGATTGTCCAAGTCTTTTCATCATTGCCAAGGTTGATTTGGCCATTTTGCTTTTCAAGCCACACATGAACACAAGCTGTGTTTTCAGAGCAGGAGACACTTCAGATACTGCTTCCTGCAGATATTTAGAGTAAAAACGGGCTCATAGAATGAATGTTTAAAACCTAACCATTCATTCTATGAGCCCATTTTTGCTTGCTGCTTGCTTTTACAACAAATATTTGTTAAATGTAAGAGTAATCTTACATATATCAGCCCTACACTTTCTTGCAAAATATTTATATTTATTTATCTATATTTGTAGATTCAGGATTCCTGAGGGAAATTGTTTATAGTAAATACATTGGATTTAGCTGGAATTACCCTGTTGTTGTTTTTTCCCACATTGTGAAACTTGTGTGAATAAATGTTGGTTTTATGCTACCTTTATAACAATGACCACGTATGTTGCTCACACTTTTAATGAGTTGTATATCTCTAACAGTAGATGTTGGGAAATGATATAAAAACAAAGGAATAACAAAAAGAATGGATAACTGGTACATGAAAATGACACATCCTCTTCAGACCTCAAACAAGAATAGATAAATTGTTAAGATGTACCAACATGAAATCTTATCTACAAACCGTATGATAATACACAATCTAAGAGTTAAGAAAAAAAAGGAAAAAAATCTTTGCAATTAACCAAGGCCAAAACAACAAACAAAGTAAAGATATCTAAGTCAAGGGGGGAAATTAGCCATTAGAACCAATATTGAACAAATAAAGCAGGAGAAAAGGATTTTTTTTTAAAAATCAGCTTGGTCCTACAAACTCCAGCTAAAGGTAACTGCTCAATGTCGATACGTCATCAGGAAGTTGGTGGAAGAGTTGTGTTCCTATGTAGTCTTGTGTGTCTTCGTTAAGTGTAAAAGTTGGTTTTAACTGTCATGACTACTAGAAGATTATTAGATTTAAAAACTCCTTGGAAAATATTGAATCTTTAGGCTAACGGAAACAAAGAGCCGTTGACTATTTTTATGCTTTTTGTTTCTGCCCTTTGTTAATCTGAGATTGCAGAATTCACTAAAGCTTTTTATTATTCTAAAACAAGTTGGGTGAAGTTGAAAAGAAATGTCTGACTTGCTAACTACTTTAAAGCTATCACTTTCAGTGCTGTTGGAGATAATCTGTCACACTAAATAGAAGCAGGCATAAGTGTAATTCTGTTGGCAGAGCACTATTAACTATAACTATTTAAGCAATTCTGCTTCGCTTAAGATGATCGCTGTCCTTCGGCGCAGCTTAGATTAAATATGATATTTGAACAGAAATGTGTACGGTATTACCATAGGTTGTGGCAGCCCTATTACATCTGTAGAGGCTAAAGTATGATCAGTTTATTAAGATAATTTATATTAGTGTTTTTTTCATGACAGAATGCTTTATTTTAACTATGGAGAAAGTCATGTTCATTTTCATATCTTAAGTGGAACTGTTTTGCGGGATTTGTACTTTTAGAGAATGACTTACCTGGCTTTAATTTGTCCCTCAGTTGGACATTATTGTCATTTTCGGACAATCAACTTTACTGTTCCAATTTTGAAAACCATGAAATGGTGTTGCAATGACTGAATTTCCACAGGAGGTGTGCTCGTGGAAATGTGGGAATGATCTGATGTTAATTTGAAAGGAAGTACATGTAACACTAAAAGGAGATGCAAATAACTAACTCATCTCTCAGGTCCCAGTCGCAGATTCAAAAGAGTTGTGGAAACCATTCAAGCTCAGCTCCTCAGTACCCATGATCAGCCTTCTGTGCAGGCACTGGCTGGTGAGAACCACACTCGAGCACATAACCTACACGTATATCTAGTGACACCACCATTTGTTTGACCTGTTTATTCTGCAATGTACTTATTCCCCTTAGATGAGAAGAATGGCCAGCTTTCCCGCCAACCCAGCACTCCTTCGCATCAGAACTCACAGCGTTCCGAAAGTGGATCAGAACGGGATGAAAAGGAGCCCACGGCAGACGGGGTGAGCAGTAGTGGCAGCGGGACTGTCTTACAACGTCGAGAGTCGGGAAAAGACAAGACTAGACTCCTTTCATCATCCAACGGGACACAGTGTCACCCTTGAAAAGAATGTTGCAGAGGAGTAGAGGCCTTTTGGTGGCTTTTCTCTCTTCCTCCCCCTCAGTCCTTGTTATATTTTCTCCTTTCCCCTTTTGCTCACTTTTCACCATGCTTCCTACTTTTAGTACCAAGTCATGGGATGGAAAAGAGGGACGATTTTCCCTGAAGATGATCTTAGAGTACCATGGAGGTCTACCCCCTAAATTGCTGCCTTTAGAATAAATGTGTGTGGAGACATCTTGAGCTGATCTCCTGACAGCTCGCAAATGTTTCATTCCAGATGGATGAGTGTAAATGATGTCCAAAAAAAACCCAAACCTTACAACAGAAATACAGGGAAAGTTGACAACCAGGGAAACAAGTAGTTCATCCACTGCAACAAATAAAGAGAGCACATGACCTTTTCAATGTCCAGTTACAAGTGACATTAACTGGCAATGGGAGGATGGTGGCCAGAAATGGAACGGATCAAGGCATTCATATCTATCATTTCATGGCCATCTACATTTCATCACCTGCTTCACGAAATGGATCCATCTGCAAAGTAAAATATCAACAAATCTGCTCTCTGAATCACTTTCTGATGCAAGGTGTTTTTTCACCAAAGCTATCAAATTAGGTTAAAAATGATTAATTCTATAAGTCTAGATTGGTAAAAGGGTGTTGCATCCATTGATAATTATTAATGCTACTTAATGCTATGCTTTAACAATCAAAGAGTAAGGAGTCATTCCCATTTGTATATGAAGCTCAACAGCTATGTCTAAATCACTCTGATAAAACTGCAAACCATATTGCCTTTAAAATGTGGTCAAAAAGTGAATAAGTTGTTAGATTGAGTCCAAGGTTCCTACAAACTGGTCATACCACAAGGAAAATATTCCAACACTCAAAAAGCCCTGCGGAGAAGTTTGAGGTGAACATATAGTATTCAAGAATAAAGAAATCTAACAGAGTTTCATAGGAAAGAAGAAAGCAAGGAACAAGATGACAACGGCAGTTTTTTGCTCATTTGAGTGCAAAATAACTGTTTTCATTTAATGTCTTTTTTTTTCTTATTCAAACATTTATTTACCATATAAAAACGATGATTGCTTATTGTAATGTCCCTGCACATACAGCTTGTGAGGCCTTATTCTCCAAGAGACCTGTCTGCAAGATGGAAAAGTCCTGGTTCCCTGTCAAAGTGCATGCTAGTGTAGTCATAACTACTTTAACCATAGCTGAAATAAGGCTCTAGTGTTTGGAAAAACATTTGCTAAAATACTTTCCCAAACCACAGTTTTCCAGATATTACAGACTTTTTTGCTCTACTGTCAAAGCCATTGAAACACTAACAAAACCTTTTCATTATTCTAGTCTGTGTGAGATCACATTTATTTTGCCGATTAAATCAGCTACAGCTTCTTCTCCAGTCTCGAGACCCAAAGCAGCTAATGTAGCTGTTTTTCGAATGTTTGATTGTTAAGGTTAGCCATAAATACTGTAATTTATGAAAAAAAATAGTGAGAACACAGATTTTATCTGGCTAAAACTTCAATGCATAGCCAATAAATGGCCTTTCATTAACGTTTGTGATTCAAATTTAGAAAATCTGAGAGTGAGATGTAAATAACAAAAAAAAAGAACCCGCACCCGCCCCAAAAAAGTATAACCTTGGTTTTTGTTTTGTTTTTTGTCTTGTCTTATTTATTTATTTATTTATTTATTTATTTATTTATTTATTTATTTA